ATGGCTGCTTCGTGCGGATTCTGCGTGACTACATCAATGAGCTGGAATTACGTAAAGCGCAGCAACCATTCTTGAGTATTGGAACAAAGTATACAACTTGAAATTAATACAGCTTAGTCACCACGATTAATTACCTGGAGCAGCAATTAGACTAATTGGGTTTTCAGAGTTCAACTTGGACAAACTAGGTGTGTTGTGATGAAGTAGCTGTTGGCATTTGAAGGCAGGAGCAGTAAGTTTCTGTAAAGTCACAGTATTGAAGTTTGCAGCTGAAAGGGGACTTGCTGATCTTCTAGCCCAGAGGCTGGCAAACTTGTTCTCTAAAGGGTCAAATAACAAATATGTTAGATTCTGGCCAGATGGTCTCTGTTGCAGCTACTCGAGTCCAGAAGCCGTTGTAGATGACCCTGAGCGAGCTGTTTCAATGGGATTTTATTTAGGGGCACTGAAGGTTGCATTTCATAGACTATCCACATCACAGAATATTAATTCTGTGCCCCAACCAGGGCTGGGGATCCAGCCTGCAACCCGGATACATGCCCTTGACAGGGAATTGAACCCAAGACCCTTCGGCGTGCAGGCCGACACTCCAGCTACTGAGCCACACCAGCCAGGGCAGTTCGCTCGTTCTGATCCACTTATCCAGCGTGATCTAAATGTCAGGCACCTTGCTAAGTGCTGGGGGTGGAGAGCTCAACAAGAGCCCGTTCCTGTCCTTAAGAAAGTCATAGTCAGTGGGACAGGCAGACAGCAGTGCCTGCAGTGAGTGTGGACGGGAGCACGATGGGTGGGGGCAGGATGGACTGTGGAGAGGGTCAGAAGGTACAGGGGAGTGATCTACAGAACCAGAAGGCTGGGGGATGTGGTGGAAAGGGAGCAGGCCAGGGGGACTGGGAGACAGGTGACGGGTTCCCCCACCCATGCAAGAGGGACGCTGAGGGAGGAGCCTGCCATTGTGGCTTGGTAATCTCTACCCTTCCAGTTGCCTGAGCTTGGCAAAGTAACTGCTCTGAGCCTTGTTTTTCTCTTGCAAGAAATGATGCAGGTGATAATAATGCAGACAATACCTGCCGCTCAGCATTGTTAGAAAGATTAGTTAATGAACGTAAATGCTTTTGATGCTCCCTGCCCCGTGTAAATGGCTCAGTAAATGTTAGAGCATAACACTAGGAATAGCAGAGAACCGAGTGCATACTTTACAGTCAAAATATTTGCACCTTTTAAATCCATATGTTGGTTGAAAAATGTTCATTTCCATGAGGCGGCCTCCTCTCCCAGGGAAACTGTGGCCTGAGCATTTTGAGAACATGACTCAGAAGAGGAAGAAAAGACCTTTACTGTAGCCAGAGTGGCCGAAGGAAGGGGCTCTGGTCTGAAGCCATTTTAGGACACAAGACATTTTACCACTACCAAAAACATATATATATATATGTATGTATGTGTATATATATATACACAGACACACACAGACACACACACACACACACACACACACACACATCTCCACAGTCGACTGTTGAAGCTCCCAAGTGAAATTGTTGAGTGAAACTAAACACTAATCAAAAACATGTATGCATGAGGGCCCTGGCTAGGTGTCTGTTGGTTGGAGCATTGTCCTGTACACCGAAGGGTTGCCGGTTTGATTCCTGCTCAGGGCACATGCCTAGGTTTCGGGTTTGATCTCCGGTTGGGGTGCATACGGGACGGAACTCATCGATGTTTCTCTCACATCAGTGTTCCCCTCCCTTAAGTCAATAAAAAAATATAAGGATTGAAAAACACACAAATATGCATAAGGACGTTGGCCACCTCTGGGGGAACAGGGTCTGGCCCAGAGACAAGTCTATAGGGAGTGGCCCGGCGGTCCTGGTACCAGNGTCAATAAAAAAATATAAGGATTGAAAAACACACACAAATATGCATAAGGACGTTGGCCACCTCTGGGGGAACAGGGTCTGGCCCAGAGACAAGTCTATAGGGAGTGGCCCGGCGGTCCTGGTACCAGGCCCACAAGTGCTCATTTGATGATTATGCCTCATAACTCATCTATACGCTGCATGTATTTTGTATGTATCACATACAGCATAAAATAATTTAAATCCATGTATTCACTTGCTTTCACAGTATGCTTAGCAGATGAGTGTCTGAAGCATGGGACCAGGGCTGGCTCTGCTTTGCATGAGAGATCGGCCCCAGCCCACTGGCTCTACAAAGTCGTTTCGTATTTCTGCGCTGGCTCCATCCTGTCTTGAAGTCTTGCATGTTTTAAAAAGATGCTGGTTCTGGTCACGCCCGCGGGCGTGGTGAAGGCTGCTGGTGGCCGGTGGAGATGGGTGCGGGCCCAGCACACGCACCGGCGCGTCCGCCGGGTCTGCCTCCCGGGCTGCGGACACGCAGCGTGCGCCCTGGGGACCGTCGCCAGCCCGGGGCAGCTGCTCAGGAGCCCTGGTGACCGCTCGGCCAGCAGGGGCGCAGCTGGTCTCCCAGGAGACCCCCAGTTCTGCCCAGTCGTGCGCCGCGGGCCTGAAGGGAAACGGACCTGTGGTCAGCGGGGTGAGCCCGCCCGGGTGCAGAGGGGCCTGGGGGTGTCCGCGGTGGGCTCGCTGAGCCGGGCGAGGGCGGGGGAGCACCAGGGCCGTCGTGGGAAGGGATGGGCTGGGGCCCCGGGCGCCTGGCCTGCCCTCA